CCTTTCCTTTCCTTTCTCCTTTCCTTTCCTTCACTTCCTTGATGTTTGCAGAGGTGAAAAAAACAAAGGAATTGTGTATATATATATCTTTTTAACAATCACTGTAAATACCCAACTGTACTCAAGGCCATTAATGGAAAAACCTTTAAAAGATGAACTGGCCAACCCACCCCCTCCAGGATTTACATTTCAGAGCATCTGCAAGTAATCCGTTGTCAGTCAGAAGTGATAAGTGATTGCTGTGCAGTTGTGATCCTTGGTTGCCAAACTGACACTAATCTGTGAATGGACACGATCATTGTTCTTTTTCAAATTGTTTTCCATTTTGGTTTGGATGGAAATGGGATCAGCTGTCTTTTTCCATCCCCAGAGACACTTCTGAGAGTGCTTTATGTTCTAGTTAAGCTGTGAATTTTCTAAAAGGGCCATGCAGTTGACATATGTCTATATTTTTGGCATTGACTGATTGATCGATAGATGGATTGATTGGATTCTTTGAATAATAAAAATAACTACCCCTTCCCTCCCACCTTAAAATTCAATTCCAGGATGGCCTTTCCGTCCAGATAACATTGAATCCTCTGCATCCGTGTCCAAACATGGCGTGTTTTTGGGTAGTGCTCTCACACAGAGCGTGGTGCATTGCAACCTGGTTGACTTCTGTGTGTTGACTCTTCCCTGCCAGAGCAAGAGACACAAAGGAGATCTGGCACGATCACCTTGGAAGGTAAAAGTCATCTGCCTGTGGTGAGCAACTAAACTGAACCGTAAGATGGTGTGGAAGGAAAAGATAAAGACTTTGGATGACTTCCCATACCTGGCAGTTTTCTCACTCTTTGGATATTCTGTTTGTTTAACCACCAATGGTCTTACTCCTTTTCTTTGAGAGGAACTAGAATGTTCTTTCAACCTTTGCCTTGTAGTTAAAGCCACAACTGGTACATATTTACTTCAATCAAATGCCGATGATGTCAATTCTTAAAAGTCTTTATACAGTGCATAAAGGCTTTGAGGACCGTCCTAGCACTCACTTCATTTTGGATTTATGAACTGAGATACATATATATAAAATCACATATATATGTGCTTGTATACGTATGCCTATAGTAAAAAAAAATGAAAATGACATTTTAAATGTGAAGTTTTGAACTGAAACTGATAGTAACCAGGAAATTCAAAATTCAGGCTTGTTCTTTGGTGTTAGTTGACACGATCATGAACTAAAAAAAAAAGTGAAAGACTCAGAATTTTAGTGTCAGCTGAGTGTGAGCTTTCAATTTCACTATGTTTTGTTAGTTTAGGTAAAAAAAAAGTTTTAATGTCATTTTAAGCATAGTTTTTTAAAAATAATGCTAGATTTTTTATTTTTAAAAAGAGAAAATAATGTCTCAACGTTGTGAAAGAAATATCAATTATAATACTTAACACTTGTAAAGTGCTTTATGGAACAGAGTCTGCTCTCAGTTGTAGCAGTGTAAATGAATGTAAAAGTAATTTGAAACACACAGAAATGTTGAGATTGACTTTGTACAGGATCATGCTCTTATGACCTCCTTACATCCCTTTCAGGTGAATCTACCCTTGCACAAAGGACCATCAAAAAGGTTTAAATCACTTACATTATGCTCCAGTATCTTAAGTGAGAGTGAAACGATCCAGGCATCTTTTTTTTCAACTCTTTAGCAGCGGTTTGCTGCTCTGAGAGCAGAATTTGTTCCCCTCTATCAGATGCTCTACAAAAGCCACTGAAGAATTTTTAACTGATAGATTGGAGCTTCCTCTCTCATGAGATGCTGCTAAAAGGTATTTTAGAAAGTTTCCCAAGAAACCATGCAGTCCAGAAAGACATGGGAGATGGGGAAAGTCAGATCTATCAGGTAAATGCTTATTTAGACATTTTTAAAATGAGACTGTCGAATGTTAGATGAACGGATAATCTTTAGTTTTGTATTTTCTGTAGTGTGGGCTTTCACAAGTCATTACATTGACAATACTGTAAGTGTATTATTTAAAAAAAAATCAAAAAGTATATTTTGCATGAATGGCTAGAAGCCAATTTTCAAGCATTAATAAATTAGCACTTTTGAGAAAAAAATGTTGAATAACTGCCTCTAGTTGGAGACTTTTTTCCCATATTTCAGTCCAGAGCAAGAAAGTGTTTGAATCTTTTTTGCTGTTGTTGTTGAGGTTTTTTCTGAGCTTACTTTTGGATTCTGTTGTTTTCCTGGCTGTCCTACAGTGCTCTGCAGTTTGAGTTGGTGGATCTCAGTCCAGTGCCTCGTGGGCAAATGTCCACATCACCAAAACCACCCTCTAGTCATGCCCACTGGAGACCAGGTCCTCAGCTAAATAAAAATTGGTACAGAAAACTGTTGTTATTGTTAAAACAGAGCCACTTTGGCTTGGGAGTTGGCCCCAGTAGATCATTATTATTTTTTGGTGGTCTCAGCAAGAGAGGCCAAGGATTGAATAATCATGAAAATTTGGACTTGCCACTTAAATTCCTAGATTGAACACTCAGGAGAAAGACAAGTTGGAGGGCAGTGGAGGGGTAATTTCTGCCGTTGCAGTCCCTGTGTTTCTTTTTCAGTGGACAAATTGAAGTCTTCAGTACCTTTCACCAGCACTGAATTTACTAGGAGAAATGTTATCTCTCGACATGTTTAATACACAATTTATTACACATGCAACCCCCATCTTGGATTATTTTTTTTATTGGCATTGTTGATGCACTTGTAAATGTGGCTTTCCTCAGTCACTTGAACTTTCTCAGTGTTACTGGAAAGATCATATGAGGTGTATGTAGTTATCTAAACCAGACTCTGATGCCATCGCACAAACTAACTCTCAAGAAATCTTTACATTGAATGTAAGCTGAAGGTGCTGGACATGGCATGGCCACTACTCAGAGTGGCTGTCATTTCTATTTGTTTCAGGATGGAAGAAGCCAAAAGGTGGTCTGCTTCTAAGCGTGTGTAAATATCAATTGAGTGCAACAGTGCTTTGTTTGATTTTTCACTGTGAATTATATTTTTTGGAGGTAGAAAGGCTATGTTATTAAAAACAATACATAATTAAAAGAAAAACAAGTGTTCAGTGCTCCTTGAGCCATTTTTTCTACCATGTCCATAATGTATTTCTTGTCTAATTTTCTTATTTTGCTTTTGTAACTGTACAAAAGTTTCTATGCTGTAGCTTTTGTGACTATTTACTGTATGTAATCACTGTTTGATTGTTGACTTCTCGATGTGGAGTGCTGCTTCTATAGGACAATTAACATCCCAAAATGAAAACTATAACCTATACTTCGAAGGACAAGGCTTTTTTCATTGCTGCACGGTGACTATATTTAGTATATCTGGAAATCAGAACCCAGGTAATGAAACTTAAATGCTTAGCTGTGGGAGTTTTTATTTCATAGAGGAAAAGTACTGAAGTTCCTCTGCCTGATTTAAGTATTTATTTGAAAACCAGGTGTTAAAATGGGCTGGTGGGAGAAGGGAGAAAGATGAAGGCAGGTGAGTCCAGAGTGAAATGCTAAAAAGGTGCAATTTGGAAGATAAATTCAGACACTGTGTTTGGTGTCTGGTTCCTCCTTTTCAGCAGCTGTCCGTAACTGCAAGAACTGTGTCTTGCAACTGCAAGGTTAAATAACAACTGGAAGTGGCAGGAACTGACTGTGTGAACAATTTGAGATTACATTTGCAAAGATTCCTCTTCCTGGACTCTCTCCATCATCAATGGCAAGTGTGAGATACCTTCCAGAAGGGAACGTAGAGCAGTTTGTAGAATCACAGAATCAGCAGCCCAGGTTGGAAGGGACATCAAACAATCATCCAGTCCAACAGTTCATGAGAAAGGGAGTCTAGGTGAGATTATCCAGCACCCTGTCCAATTGCATCTTGAAAACCTCTAATGATGGGGACTCTACTATGTCCCTGGGGAAGTTGTTCCAGTGAATGATTGTTCTCACTGTAAGAAATTTCTTTTTTATGTTGAGATGAAACCTCCCTTGGTGCAACTTGTACCTGTTCACCTTGTCATCTTCATGTGGTCCTTGTGAAGAGACAGCCTCCATCCTCTTTCTAGCCACCTTTTTAGTGCTGGAATACTGTGATGAGGTCCCTCCTGAGCATTCTCTTCTCCAGGGAGAAAAGACTTAACTCCTTCAGTCTTTCCTCATTGAGCTGTGATGAGGTCCCTCCTGAGCATTCTCTTCTTCAGGGAGAAAAAACTTAACTCCTTCAGTCTTTCCTCATTGAGTAGGTTGTCCATCCCTTTGATCATCTTCATGGCCTTCCTTTGACCCTCTCCAGTTTGGCTGCATCTTTTATCAACCAGAACTGGGCACAATATAATGTTTGTTAGACTCTTGCTCAAAACCTGGTTGTCCATCCCTTTGATCATCTTCATGGCCCTCCTTTGACCCTCTCCAGTTTGACTGCATCTTTTATCAATCGTGAGAACCAGAACTGGGCACAATATAACGTT